ACTTCCTGGTCTGCGACTGGAAGAACTGCTGGCAAGGCTGCTGGACAGAGAAAGAATATCTTCAAATTGAGAAGGAAATGGATGAAAAGGAAAAGGCGGCCCAGGAGAAGGATGAAGCAGTCCACGATTGTCAGCAAGTCCAACAACCTCAGCAAATACAGCAAATTCAGCAATTCCAGCAACACCAGCAACCTCATCAAACTCAAGAGAGCCACGAGAGGGCTGTCTCTTCCGGTAGCAGCCAACCTGGACAGGAAGAAGAGCCACCGCGCCCCGAAGTACCGAAGAACCGCAAGCAGAGACCAAAGAACATTGAGACCTCGCATACGAGAAGCATATCACAGCTTCCCGAACTCGGCCCCCCACTTTCCCCGATCCAGATCTAAACAACATTCCATATAGAGCTCTAACCAGCGATATTCCAATACGCTGGTATCCCCAACATCACATTTCCTTGCCCGACTAGGCTGGCCTACATGCTCGAAATTCTACTTCACCATGTGTAGGGCCTGGGACTGGATCCGCAGGTCGTGCACGATGAGTGAGATTATACCTTTCGATTGTGATCCGGCTCATACACCATTTCCCAATCTCTTGCTCTAGACGTTGGCGCATACATGAACTTTCAGCTTTTCATCTTTATGCCTTCACCAGTTTTAGTTTCGCGACGACTTTCCAGCTATATCGGGCCACCATCAGACTGCATGCCTGGCGCCTTGGAGTCGGTTCAGTTCAGGCCTACATGACGCTTTGACTTTTGTTGTACAAATCTTTCTCTTCGTTTTCTCTTTCCGTCGTTGCTCGATCACATTTCCACTTCTTGGCACCGTTGGCGACATATCACCTTTATAGCCTTTTCTTGTTCTTTTGGAATCATCATATGCATGTTCTTTCCTTATTTCATTTCCTACAGACTTATTCATCTATTGATTCCCCACTTGAGCTGTGTTACGGTGCGTTTCCCCCGAATTTGGCGACTCATGACACTTTTTGGTCCTTGCTTTGTACTATTTCTCAATTCTTTGGCGTATATTGGTACATAGCTGTAAGATAGACCAATGACAGGCGATGCATCAATTTGAAGAAAAATTGGAATTAGTATTGTAAGGCTGGATGGTCTATTGGTATTTGAAAGATATAGATGCGTATCTACAAGCGAAACAGTAGTACAGATGAAGTTAAGTAGTACCCTCGGTTATGGTGCGGACCCCATAGAAGATCGAGAGATAAGACAAATACTTAAAGGGGGTAGTAAAATGTGATATTGCTTTTCGAGCCCGGCGAGACGAACAAGTCCCAAACCAAAGGCAACATTGACAGACATCCAAGCCCAGCGACTCCAAACCGAACGCCGTAACATTTGAGCCCCAGGTGAAAGAACGAAAAATTAAAACCAAGGCAAGATCCGCAGAAACTTGTTATACGGCCTCGACTCTTGACAAAAATCGTTATCAGACACAACAACAACAACGACACACACAGCACATAATACACATCATCGGTCTTTTTTTGTTTCTTTAACCACCACCCGACTTCCGGCTCTTGCGCTCATTCGCTCTCATTTTCCTCTCGTTGCGGCGTATCCTGTCTTTGCGTTCGGCACGAGATAATCCACGGATCGAGCTTCCCTTAGCGGCAGCCTCTTCTTCCTTCTTCCAATCCTTCTCGTTCACCTCAACAAGCCATTCATCATCGGACTTGTTCTTGCCCTTGTAACCCCAGCGAGGAACCCACTCGCCCTTCTCCTCATCATACACCAACTTCTTGCGACGCTCCTTGTCGGCCAATGCCGCACCAGGCCGGCTGCTGTATTTGCCAATACCCTTCTTGCGGGCGAACAGCTCCCACTTGGTCGGGGGCTTGGGGGTGGGAAGGGGCTTGAAGCGAGGGAGAACGGTGGTGGGAGGAGGGAGAGTCAGGAGGACACCCTGTTGGGAGGAGGTGATGGGGCAGGTGGTCAGGAGCTGGTTGAGAAGAGACTGGGTGCCATCCCGGGCTGTGGCCTTGAGACTGACGTCCAAGGGTTCGGAGCGGGAGATCTCGAGAGGGTTGGGGTCGTTCGCAAGCAGATGACCGAGGTCGAATGTGTAAGGAGTAGGCTTGGAGACAGTCACGGGGCTGATAGTATCATCATTGAGGAATTAGTATGTGTGTTTATTCAAGTTCAACGGAGTTTATATAGATAGATGATAATCTTTCCCCACGCAAATGGGGGAGGTGGATTCGACTTACAGTCTCTCCGGCTTGGGCTTGGAGTCGGTAGACGCCATTTTGTCCTTCTGTCGCGCAACTGGCGAACAAGATACTCTGGGAATTGAGGTTGGGAGTATCACACAGGGACTCCGAAAAAGAATGGAGAACTGGGCGCAAAGGAAACAAGTCTTTTGACCGATCGGGTAAAGAGGAAAAAAAAAGTTCGGGAGATAAAATCGCCATGCTGCTTTTAGGCCTGCCACACCGCCTTCTGGTCCAGCGGCACTGACACTAGTCCCAACGGGGCAAGGGAGGAGGAATCTGAGTCGAGGCTCCAAAATGTGCTCCGAATTTCAATCCATTCCATGTCTTTGGGCGACTCCTCCTCCGCGCAATCCTCCGCTCCCACCCCCCATCCCCGCCGCAATCAATCCCAATTGACCGATTAGGACGCTGGCCACAGCGCCAGTGTGTACCGCAGCGCGATGGTTTCCTCCTTCTGCTGGAGCTGCCTTACGCGGCTTCCTACCGCTCCCCGAGCTATCCTCCCGCCGACATTAACAGCACAGCGAGTAGCAGCATTCCACTCGTCAACGCCGCTCCTCGCGGGAGCTAAGAAGAAGGGCGATTTACCGGTTGCCAAGTACCGTCAAGCTAAATCCGCCAAAATGAAGAAGAAGAAGCCCGTCGAGAGGACGCGTCCTCCCGCTATCGGAGAACGCAGAGCGCTCCGCAAACGCATCGTCCTCAGCAACCCTAACGCTCTTGAAGTCGAAGGCATGCAGGACCTCTCTGCCGAAAACATGGTGGATGCGCGCCTTCGTGGCTCCATCCTGGGTCTTCCTGTGCCCATGCTCGATCAATTGAGGGCTGTCCAGGCCTTCAAGCCCAAGCAGGGCTGGTCTATATTCCGTCGGCCGGGAACGGTGGTGAGGCGTGAGACGCTCGAGCTGGGAAGACTCATTGACGGTATCTCCGCTGAGGAGGGCGAGAACAAGGGAAAGGTCGTCAGGAAGATCATCACCGGTGTGAAGGGCTCCGGAAAGTCCGTCCACATGCTGCAGGCCATGTCTATGGCTTTCACCAAGGAATGGGTTGTGATCACGGTTCCTGAAGGTGAGACCGTCACCCATGCACTGACATGCAACTACGCAAACAATACTAACAACTTCCCTAGCCCAGGATCTCGTCATTGCCAACACCGCCTACGCACCCCTCTCCGATGAGAACCCGAACGTCTACGTCCAGAACGATGCCACCGCCGCTCTCCTGTCTCGCATCGTCACCGCAAACCAGAAGGTTCTGTCCAAGTTGACCGTCTCCCAGCCCCATCCCGCCCTGAAGACGGCCGTCAAGCCCGGCATGACCCTCGAGGCTCTCGCCAAGCCCGGTATCCAGGACCCCGCTGTCGCATGGAGCGTCTTCCAGGCCCTGTGGACCGAGCTCACCGCCACGGCCCCGGCCGCCGGCTTCGAGAAGGGCTTCAAGCCCCGTCCTCCCATGCTCGTGACCCTGGACAACCTGGCCCACTGGATGAAGGAGACCAAGTACAACAACATCGACTGCAAGCCCATCCACGCTCACGACCTCGTCTTCGTCCAGCACTTCCTCTCCCTCCTGAAGCCCAGCACCGAGGCCGGCAAGCCCTCCCTCCCCAACGGCGGTGTCATCCTCTACGCCACCTCCGGCTCCAACAGCCCCACCGTCTACGGCTTCGAAGTCGCTCTCCAGCAGCTCGCCGCCCGCCAGGCCGGCATCAAGCCCTCCTCTCCGGAATTCCCTCAACCCGACCCCTACCTCAACGCAGACAAGCGCGTCCTCGCCGTCTTCAACGACTCCGCTTCTACCAAGTCCCCCGCCGCCAAGGACGGCTCTCTTGAAATCCAGACCATCGGCGGCCTCACTCGCGACGAGGCCCAGGGCTTCATGGAATACTTCGCCCGCAGCGGTCTCCTCCGTGAGAACATCACCGACGCCTGGGTTGGCGAGAAGTGGAGTCTGGCCGGTGGAGGCGTTATCGGTGAGCTCGAGAAGCTCGGTAGACGGTTGAGAGTCATTGCTTAATGGTCTATCTATCTGTCTGTCTGATTTCCATCTCCCCATGGCGTGCATTAGAGACTCTGTATGTGTATGTAAAGATTATACTGGCTTGCCATGTGCTTTCCTATTTTGTTGTCTTCTTTCTATCTCCCCATTTCTCTTTTTACTTGTGACCTCCCTCCATCCTGCTGTGCCAATGGATGGATTCGAGACATCTATCTATGCCTCTGTATTGTATTTTACCTTACTATCTTGATCATTTTGGGCTTCTTGCGCGTTCGTCTTCGTCCATCTGTTCTGTTCTGTCTGTATGCATATAATGAAATCTCGAAAATATGTGCTACTCTCCCTTAAGCTGTCTAGGTGGTGTACCCGTCTTAGGTTGTTTGGTATATTATCTCGGCTATTCTTTTTAGATATTTATGAGGCCGTTCAGGAAAGTGTGCATCGTATGTGCATAGTATACTATAACACTATAACAAGAGAGGGGATTGAAAATTAATAGTCGTAATGAAAGTTAAACGGTACTGTCCAATGCGGAGAGAGTAATCAAGAAACAACAGATCAGACGCTAAGTAAACGAAGCGATTCGAAGAGTAGTGTAGCGGGTTGGCACATGGGTCAAAAATCAACTAATCATGACATAAAGTGTATAGGTATATAAAGAATAGAAACAAACAGACTATATAACCAAGATTTCTGCATCCTTTGTCATGATGGTTTCGCTTCTTTATTCTGTCACGTACTTTCAGGTCGCTTGTTTCTTGTTAGGTGGGTGGTATATATTTTTCATCGAGATGAGGCCCGCCACAGTTGCAAGGTCCTCCGAGAGCACGCTCCAGAGTGCTAGTGGAGACACCCGTATCGAGAGTGTGAAAATACGGGATGCGGATCTCATCACCTTTCTTGATGTCTTTGAATGACCACAAGATGATCAGATTAGGGTTCTCGTCGCCGTAGTAGGCCCAGCTGGCGTTGTACTTCGTAGGACAGGCATGGTTGAACAGACTGTGTCCAGGATATAAATATAGTTTGAGGAAAGTGGGCCAAAAATTTGGTAAATTATCAGTCGTCAGGTCAGCTTCCAGTTTTGGAAAGGGTTTACTCTTGATAATGTTCGTCTTTTGAAGACGCTTACCCGCGCAGGGGATGGCGTTGACAGTGAGCTTCTTCAGGATGAGTTGGATGACCCAGGTGTCGAAGCTAAGGTCGCGGAAGATGTCGACGCCGAGTTGTAAGAGGATATTAAAGGGGACATGGACGTTGGCGGTTAGGCTGAAGGGAAACCTTCGATTGGTCCAGTTATGGGGGGTTTCAAGCGCGACAAGCTCGTCGATTTCGTGCGCCATGAGGTTGGGATCTTGGGTTTCTCTTCGGTGAAGGGTGATGTCGAATACTTCACGCAGGAGGAGACTCAGTAAAGTCGCCTGTGCTTCAAACGAGCACTCGTAACGTGGTAGTTTGTTGAGGTTTACGACTTTTACAGGCCGCATGGAGTCGTGTAGCCATTCCCAGTCTTCACCACAGACACGATAGTGATACCGTGCTCGAGCATTCTCAGCGCAAGTTGGATCGTCATCGTTTAGCGCAGGGCAGAATGGGATGGGGACAGGCTTTGTGATACATTTGCATGCTTCACGGACATTCCCTTGTCCGAATTCACGAGTGTATTCCTCCAGATGCTCGGCGGCCAGGGTTCTCCGGCAATTGTCACACTTTAATGGTACCACTTTGATGGGTAGCTTTGGCAGCTCGAGATGGCCTCTGATTGGGGGATTTTCGACAAAGATGACCTCATTCTTTGCAATATCCTCTGTAGCAACCACTTTCAGTTGTGTGTTACCTTGATCGTTGCTGGCGGCAATCCTGCACTTCTTCCAAGGGAGGCTTTCATTCTGGTTGAAAAAGACATCTGTTGCCTTCTCCGTAAAGGCGACTGCAGCACGATCGATGTCGTCTGCGTCATGGGGATATATCCTGTCTCCTGAAGTGTGTCCGGCTCGTGATTCGTAATAATAGTGCTCAGTATTTGCCTTGGCCGTCTTGGCTCTGTCAGCAACGGATTCCATGACTTTGGCGCGCTCTTGAAATGGCATCATGTCACGGTCCGCATTTACTGTCCTTGCTCTAAGAAGACGTCCCCTTGTTTTATAGTCGTCCCAACACTGGAGCGCCATGAGACTAAGAGCAAGAACGTGCTGGGTGGCATTCCGGATAGTGGGTACGAAGAAATTAACCCCCATTGAACCTGCGAAGCAGTGTAGCTTCCGCAGATAAATTACCCGTGATAGGATCTCTAGGTTGAACCATAATATGCTGTTCCAGAGCGTGCCATATCCGCGTATAGAGCCCAGGCTGGAGACTTCGCCGGTGTGCATCATAAAGAACGTCACAGAGATATTCTGCTCGATAAGCATCCCCGATGGCAAGGTCAAAAAACGCTTGTTGGTAATGGCAGTAAGCCCGGCTCAGCCAATAAGCTGGGTTATATGGGCTGGCAAGAATAGCACAAGTGTACATATCCAATGCACCTATACCATCATCGTCGCTGATCTCGATAGTGTACTTTCGCGCGTCATCTCTGTGGACACCCCATTGCGACAGATCACTTCGAGGCAGGACGCGATATTGATGATACACTTTGCGTTTGTAGTCCTGAAGTCGCCGGCGTAATACGGGAACCGTCCCTTCAGTTGAGAGGTTTCGGCTCCCTAGGGCGGCTCTTAACTGGATGGCCTTCATGTCCCTGATAAGCTGTCCGTCCACCTCATTAAGATCTTCAGTAGCTTCCCCAAGATCAAGACCCTGTCCTTCAAAGATGTCGCGGAATGACCAGACCCTGTTGTTCAGCCCGGAATTGGTCCATTCCCTTTGCCAATCTGCAGGATTAATTGGCGTTAGGAAACTTTCGTCGTGCATCAAGTGGTCATAGACATTCTTTGCGAGCGCATGTGCTGCGGGATTGTCGCCCGCATCCCTGGGCTGGGTATAACGGGGTTGCTCTCCTAGGCTGTCTCCAAGTACAGTGTCCGGGAGGGACCAGAAACGATGCGCGATCTTTGCATCTTCTCTGCTCACATGCGGTGCCCATTTGGTTTGGTCAAAGAGGTCAGGCCTTGGGGGAAAGGCAAATAGGTCAAAGTCATCGTTATCATCATCGTATGGACGTTTGGACATGATGCTGCCAGTTGAAGCACCTAACCTAGTCTTCGAGAAGTGGCTCGTAGCAAAAGAGATCAAACTTCAGGCGATTCTCGCCAATAGTGTACTAATAGAAGGACTGTTGGGTAACCAAGAATATCGCATTAGTATGTGCTGCTGCCTTGCACGGGGGTGGGAGAAGCAAACAGAAAGCTTGGAAAAGGAAATGATATTCGGGGCAGATAATGTAAAGGAAGTAGCAGCCGCGCTTTATAATGCGAGCTTGCTTGACTGATGAATCCCTGGTAAATACCTTCTTTGAGAGGCTATAAATAGAAGAGGAGATATCATGATGAAAGATTCTCACAAAGAGGATGTTGTTCCATAAAGTTACAAATTCTTTGTATGCGTCGCCATTGTGTGCGCGAATAAGAACCACGAATTCAGAGAGAATAGTAGCAGTATATTGAGCTCGTTGACATTGTTTATTTTGAGAGAGTGATAGATGGGTCAGGGTTTCTGAGTTCAAACTGTAATCGGTAGATCTATAAAAGAGTAGTATAATATAGGGTATTATATCCCCACCGGAATGACTGACAATCCAACCAATAAGTATATGATGACTATCTGCTGTGGGGTCATCAGTGTATTTATCTAAGTCAGTATCCCATGACGGCTATTCTTCAAGCAACCCAGGATTGATTTGGTCTAGCATTATATCTTAGATAGTAAGTATACTTTTAAGTTGGTAGAGGTGCTGCTGGTGGACACTGGGATGATGGCAGTTCATGATGGTGGAGCAAGTGCGGGAAACGCAATGAACTAGTAGTAGTAGCGGCGTCACTGAATGGTGGATATAAATGGATCGTGGCAGGGACGATAGCATCCATTGGATTGAAATTTAGCGACTCGGCAACTTTCAAGCGTGAAGCTCTGTTGCTCCTGATTTTCCCCAGAACTAACATTAATTTTGTCACTTGCATGATTGAGAAGAGGGCAAGAGGGAAGGGAAGGGAAAGAACAGAAAGGAAAGAGCGACAGACAGAGAGAATAAGGAGAGAAAGATAAGGCACAGAGAGTGAGTGACCTCCTTTCCGGTCAGCCGATCTGCCTCGTGGCCTGCCTTAGGGAGCAGCTTGTCGCTTGAGGTCATCCCTCCTCCTCTTCATCTCCTCTTCTAATAAAGATTCATCGGGGGAAGACGACGTTGCGGAAGGCGCTTTTTTTCTTCTTCTTCTTCTTTTCTGTCTCTTCTTTATTTTTTCTTTTGCGACCAGCATCAACGTAGCGGAAGAGTTCCTCTCCCCTCCAAAGATGTATGGGTCGCAAAGTTCGGGTCCTCCACAGCCCGAATGGCGTCTGGCTTCTTCCAACACGCAGCAATCGGCTTCATCTCGCCATCATCCTCCGCAACAACCATCATGGCGCGCTTCTTCCCCGCCCCCTCCACCGCCTCCTCCACGTCCGACAACTACATCATCATCTACTTACAACCCCACCATCTACGGTCAAATTTCCAATCCTCCTTCAGCAGTTAATGTTCATCCGGGTACAAGCATATCCCCCGTTTCTGCCGTTGCGGGCTCCGACACCACTTCATGGGGAGTCAAGTACAACAGGCACCAACTTCATGCGCAGTCGCCCCCACCACTACCCGTGAGTGTTGTTGAACGTTTTATTGATTTAACCCTGATGGGCTCGCAATATTCTGACGAGCATAAACCAATTAGCCGCGGCCTTCAAGCACGGCGCAATCACCACAGGCGCAGTCTCCAATTGTGAGCCCGGTAGACCCAAACAAGCCTTTACCAGCTGCCCCAGGCTGGGCGACCCAACCAGCAGATACTACATCCTACCAGCAGTGGCCGTCGAATCCTCCATATGCTTTCCAGCAATCTGTCAGCGCTTCACCGTTACAGCCTCCACCACCGCCCCCGGCTAGTTCCACTGGTTACCAGAGCTCAAGTGCCCAGCAGAGCAACCTATGGCAGCAACCACCTCCGGTTCCTCCTCCTCCCTACTCTAGTGCCCCCCTGAGTCAGTATCACAATTCCTCAGTGCAGCAGCCAGCGACCTTGCCAAGCGATTCACAAATCACCGGCAATAATGCACCTAATCTGGCCATTGCCCAAGCTCCAAGCCCCAAGCCAAGCACTCCAGTATCTTATGAGAGCCAGCCACTACCTGGGCCTCCGCAGGCTCCTGTGGCTGCGACTTTGAGTACAGCACATGGAACACCTCCCGTCGTTCCACCACCGGTGCCTCCCAAGACCAGCCCTCTCAATGCCCCGACTAGCGCTTCTGTCCTAGCCTCTGGTGGGCCTTCAGACTGGGAGCACCTGACACCCACTCCAGGGAGTATTGATGATTTAGGTGCCTTTGGCTCTCGGCCCCAGGATGGGCCCTCTTCGGGCCCTCAGTCACAGGTGCCTCAGAGTCGCCCGACAAATATTGAAGAGCCGGTGAGAAAGGCTGAATCTGTCAGCCCTATAACGCCTCCCAGTAATGCATTCCAAACAACGAGTCAAACTGAAGGCCCTTTGACTAGTCAGACCGTGGTAAAGGGTACTCCACCCCAACCTGTCAGGATGGATAGTACTGGATCTGTTCAGAGTAACATCTCCACTTCTGAAACCGCTGAAAGCATTGACGGCATCATCGAAGCTTGGAACCGTCCTATCGCGCAAACACCAGCTGAGCAGAATCCTCAGAGCTCAGTGTCTCGGGTCAGCACAGGCATTTTGCCTCCTTCGCAGAAGCAGAGCCCAATCGAGACCCCGACGCCTAGACAGGAATCGATAATTCCTCGAAAGCAAATTCAGTCTGGGTCAAGCTCAGTGGATTCGAACAGTGTCACCAACGGGCCAACTACGGATAAACGGACAATCCTCCCTGCCTTTGTACCACTCGATCCGTATGATGATCTTGATCCCTGGTCCAAATCCTCGTTGGAACGTTATGTCGCAATGCTTCGAAAGGAGGCAGTGGCTGACTCCGATGCGGAACGTTTCAATATATTCACAGCATTTATGGCTAAGGAGACCAAATTACGAGAGATCCTGTTCAACATTGAGCCTGAACCGGCGCCAGTGGATGAGAATCTCAAAGAGAGTCCGCGGCAACAAACGCCCACTCCACGCGCATCGACCAAAGACTCGAATGATGACGTGGGATCCGGTCTTATACCAGTCGAAACCGAAGGTGGCCATCTGGTCTCGAATAGTGGGGATGACGACTCGGAAGATGGCAGCTACAGTCCTGGAGGACGTCCCATTCTTCCCAAAATACAGACACCCAGCGTAACAAAATTACAGAGATCTGCCTCGCTTGCAGGGAGCAAAAAACACCACACTGATTTTGTCGCTCATACTACGTCGTCACGAGCGACATCAGTGCCACCCTCCATGCTCGGTGATGCCCGACATGAACATGCCTTACCCCCTCTGACCACCAACCCTCCACAGCCGATTTATACCCCGTTTCGCTATACTGAAGGCCCCCAACGTGGCTCTGATGTGCTTGTGTTTGATCGGCCTGCATATCAAGCCTATTCCGACCTGCGGCAGGCGTCAGCTGAGAGTGGGCGGGTAATGTCGAACGCTCCAGCACCTACTCCCGGAGATAGACCTGGTTCAGCAGTGCCCCCGCGTCGGAATGAACTTGATGAAACGTTCATTGGGCTGATAAGGGAGAAGAGCGTTGCCTACCGAAAGAGAGCACCCCGGAAAACGTCCTCTCCGCCACCACTGCCGGCTTCTCTCAGACATGGAAAGCCAGCTGGTCCAGTTGACGATTTGCGGTCCATGGCTTCATCGCCGATGTCCAAGCAATCGGAAAGCTCGTGGAATATGACGACTAGGAAGGATCTGGAGAATTACTCTAATGACTTCTCGTATATCAGGGAGGCGGTAAAGTCTTGGGAAGTTTCAAGCAAACCGCGCAGAGAGCAATTGGATAGGGAACGGATCCAACGCCAGGAGGTGTCGGAGAAGCGCATCGATGCGCTCTTTAATGGGAAGGAGATTGGCTATGCCGATATCAATGTACTGGAGGAGGAGTTCCGCCAGAAGGAGGCTCGTGCTCAGCTAGACGAAGAAAGACAGGAGTTGGACAAGTTTGTCGCCGATGTTTTCGAGCCTTTGGATCAACGCTTGAAAGAAGAAATAGCTGCTCTTCAGGCGCTCTACGAAGCCGCGCTTGCTCAACTTGATCATGAGAATGGACGGGCCAAGTCGGCGACCACCGACAGGTACAATCTGTCGCACACAATGTGGACTGTGAATGAGATTTATCGCAAACTCGAGCTACGCTACCAGAAACGTCTCGAAATTGCTTTGGATCGAGAGCGCCGGCGGAAGAAGGCTGAGAGACGGCCTCTTGTTTTCATGGGCGACTCTGTGGCGCTGAAAGGCGTGGATCACGATTTCGACCAGATGGAGAAACGGAACATCCTCGAAGCGGCTAGAGAGCGAGATAATAGAGCTAACCGACTGATGGACTCGTTTGACGATGCCATTATGCACGGGTTGGGTGAAAACCAGAGCCTCCTTGACGAAGTTGCTGCGAAGGTGGCCAAGGTCGATACCGCGGCCATTCGCTCGTCTGGGCTGCCAGACTCCGAGGTGGAGCAGTTGCTGAAATCAGTATATAATCTGATTGAGTCATTGCGTAAAGACTCTGAGTCCATCTTGCACAATTTCAATATGGCTGATTCGGTACTCAATGATGCTGATTACAGTGTTTCTGTGGCCGAGGCGCGTTATTCAGACGCCGATGCGGATGTTTTCCGCCGGCTTGATGATGAGAAAAGGAAGGAAGACGCGAAGATCCAAGTGGATCTCAAGTCCAAACTTGAAAGTATCAGGTCTGGGCCTGCAAATATAATAACTAGCATAAATGGTCTTCTGGAGTCTCTAGGCAAGCCTCCTATAGTTGATCAAACTGGTTCTTCATCACAGATGCCTGCCGGTACGCTTGCGCCGGCATCCCAGCATCTCACGACTGATATTGCACCACGGAAGCCCGAAGAAGATCCC